TCTTATCTGTTACTAAACTGCAAGCACAACTCTCCCTCCTCTTGTTTCATTCATTGGTTAAAGCCAAATTCAGGAACTTTTAATTTGGGTGAACAACATTGCTAGACTAATCAGACCAGTTTAGTTTTTACATATATTCAAAAAAATATTAAAAAGAAATAACCTCACATTGTAAGCTGATTTTACATTTATTATAATAAGAAGGGACCTTTTACACTGGTTGTCACAGCTGTTTAGATCAATTCAAAATGTGAAATTACAAACCCTGAAGACAAAGACAAGTGGTCAGCAAGTGGCCCAGAGGACAGGAGGCAGCGAGAGATCCTGTCAAACACTCAGCTTTCCGGGATCTGATTTGCCTCTGGCTGCTGCTTCTAACCTTCAAACCACTACTGCGGTTTCCTTGTTCCCAAACGTCTCTCTCGGGCTGAGAGCTGTCCCTCCCCTCACCTGCGCAGCCCTCAGTTGTCTCCACAGCCTGAACAGGCCAGGTGAGTGTGGCGCAAGTTCTGACCCGAGTGATTAATCAAGTGCTCAATGAGCTTTGCTCTGCATAAGAAGCAAGAGAGGAACAGCTCCAGTTAAGGTGCAGAGAGAATTATATAAAGCAAGACATTAATAATAATGTGAAGGAACAAGTAATAGGTTTATTCCATGCGGAAAAGAGAAGGAAGAAAACTGTGGCTGTGGAGCCTTCTCCGGGTGTGAGTGTGATCTAGAGGCCTGAGGACTGCTGCAGTATTACATTATTAGTATAACCACATATTATGATGCTTTGAGACAGGGGCAGGATTTAAAATTGACCAGAAATTAAGTGATGCTTATTTTTAAAATAACCTTCAAGCTGGTCATGTTGCAAATGCATGTTAAAAGGTGGAAAAATGTATTCCCCGCAATGGGAATTAATAGATGAAATAGCCAGAACTAAATTAAATCCATTTGTTATTTTAATGTTGATTTTGCAACTAAAAATATATTTAGGTTGGAAAGATAACCCGTGACGCGCCTAAATATTTTCTTCACAGGCAAAGGATTTAAAGGGTTCAGAAATCAGCTGGATACTCAAAGTGCTGTTTACTGAGATGGGTGCCACCATGTGGTGACTTTGAGAATTGTCACAGATCAACAAGTGGTTCAGTTCTTCAAACCTTGCCTTGAAGGATTTGAAGTGCATGTTAAAAACCTGAGAACAGTTGCAAGTCCAATAAAAGACAAGAGAGGCAACATTAAAAAGCAGAGTGTCATTGTGGACTCCAGCAGGCCATAGACATCACCTGTAGAATATAGACATAATAGCAGGACCTAGTTCTGTGTTGCCTTTAGGTAGTTGAATGAAGTTAATAACAAAATTCCTGTGCTCTGTCAAGAATTGCTGTGGTACTTTAAGAGAAGAGAGCATTCACAGTAGGAGGGGAGGATACATCAGTCCAATTTGAAACACCTAAAGGCTTGTTAAAAAAGGCGCTATATTAAATAAAGAAAATGTAAATGGAGATAGTGAACAGTATTGTATTGGGTTGCTACAGACCCAATAAAATAGCAGCAGCCAACAACTGGTCAAGAGCAACAAATGTAACTGAAAACAAACCTGCTTACACTTATATAGCGCTTTTTTGGATACTCCACTCAAAGTGCTTTACAGGTAATGAGGACTCCCCTCCACCACCACTAATGTGCAGCATCCACCTGGATGTATGCTGGGGCTTATGCTTCTAAAAATCCTGAGTATTGTCCAGAAGCACCATGTGCCTGACACCCCCATTCAGTAGTGTGGCTCTGAATGTCTCACCAAAATGGCCATTGGGTTAATGTACAGGAGGCTTTATTGCAGTGTTAATTAAGTCTATATACAGAAAGAATAGAAAAGTCTCTCTTTTCTACTACTAATCTCAAGTGCAGTCTCCCTGTAACAACTTCCTAACTCTAACTGACACGAACACCATACAAACCCTTCTTATACACCAGCACACCACTATTTACCATCTTGTGAGAATATGCTCTCGAGTCCTTGACCTATAATGTAATACTTTAACACACACAGTGAAACTATTTCAAGTTGTTAGAGGTCCTTGGACGACCTCTAGTGGCAGTTCCTCGGCTACTGCTGTCCCTGGCTAGACCAGTTGGCAACACACCAGCTCAGGACAAAATGGATTTCTGATGGCCCTGGGCTCCCCTCCCCCACAGCTGTGCACTCACCGAGCTTACTGCCCTCTTCCCTTCCACAAAGACACTTCGACAGAGCAGCACATCTGTGAGGCTGAGGAATGGACCTCTGAGTTCACATTGTCATTAACACGTGCAGTGGATGAATGTCAGTTTATTATCAAGTGGTGGATAATTCTTGTGTCAAGATGTCATTTCTAGACCGTGCCAGTTACTCCCATGGGGTGAATTGTTTGCACAGGTGTATGTACTTTAGACAAACTCTCCTCATCTCCAAAAAAACAACAAGTATAAAGAGATATGCAGGTTAAGTAGTTCACTGCACTTTCATGCTTTATACTTACAGCATACTGTAAAAAGTCACATGGTATATAAACAGTTCCAGGTCATGTGAACTGTTAAATATAAACTGTAGACTACACACAACACACACACTACACACAGCTGGCCAGGGCTCATATTAACCCTAAACTTGGAGGCACAATACTGTAGGTTTTCCTAGTTGCCTCTGACATGAAATGAACTGAGCATGAGGTCAAAGCACACTTTCTTGATTCACATTTTGCTGACACAAGTTTCTGTAAATCACATCATTAGATCAGCATTTGTGTCTGTTGGGACTTACTGAGCAGATCAGGCAGGAGTATTGAAAGACAGCAAAGTCACGGTATAGATAGCTGGTGTAACAAAGAGGTTATAAAAAATTTAGACACAGTATTGGAGATGCATTTAATTCAATATGCTCATAGCATTTTAATGCTGCTGAGAAGCCATGCAGAACAGCAAAGGATTTGAATTCACAGGATGCGGAAGGTGGTTTGTCCTGGGTGAGATCTCTGAACATGAGTTGTGACGACAGCAATGAGGACCGGAGGAGAGCACAAGCCACACAGGAAGCAGAGCTCTGGGCTGTGCGACATGGAGCTCCACCCTGGCTTCAGTTCAGATAACTGGGCACAGACCACAGCTCAGGTAAATTGAATTTGCTGTGAGTTTTAGTATAAAACCAAGCGTCTGTGTGTCTGCCTGTAAGACAGAGAGGCCTGTGTGAGAGTGTTAATAAAAGTCACAGGATGGTCATTACCAGAGGTCAGGAATGAGCCGGAGCAGTTTTAGTTTGATCTGGTACTTGACTGGAAGTGAAAGCAATTAGGGTAGCACAGCAGGATTCCAGGTTTGGTTCTGGCTTGGTGTAACTTCTCTATTTTGCTTGATTTCCCAATGGTTGCAAGGATTTGCTCTAGATGCTCTGATTTCCTCCCATATTGCAAAGACATGCTGTCTAAATAATCTGGGGTCTCTAAACTGCACCCAGTTTGTGTAAGACTAGCATCTCGTTCAGAGTGTATCCTAACTTGCACCCATGGTCTTCTTCTACGCACTCCGACACACCATTAGGCTTTATTAAACTAAGCCTAAGCCATTATTGAATATAGTGAATGCAACCGGACAGCAATGTAGTAGATGACATCTACCATAAATAGTATGCATTATTAGCAATATACATATCTTAGTCCTTTTGCAGCCAAGGTAAGAAAATGAGGTGCAGTGCTGTGACCCTGGGCTTCTGTCCAGGAGGAAACTGGAGTTGAGAGCTGCGGGCTGTGCTGAATAATGGATTCAGGGTGTCAGGTGGTAGTCAGGACTACGAGGAGCATGAACACTTTAGTACCCACCCCTCCTCTCCGGGGAAACAGAAAAGCCGTAGTCCAGGACACAGAGGCTCCAAGGCAGGGAGTCCTGGGCCTGGAGAACAAGCGTGCCTGCAAGTTTCCTACTTTTCAAAGGAGTAGCCCATGGAGAGCTGGGGGAATTTGTAAAGCTGGTCCCATCAAGACAATAAGGATCTGATTTAGGCAGTCAAGAGCTGTGTTGGAAGCTGTAGACACACAGATCTGCCAGGAGCAAAACGGCCTACTGCTGCCATACAGCCTGTGTCCTGGCTCTCCCCTGCTGGAGCCCCACAAGAACAACTGCAGCCTGCTATGGCTTTCGGCTTCAGTGAAGAAACACAGTCAAGCAGGATGGGGATCTCCATGTTAAATCTATTTCATATTCCATCTGGCATTCATTTCTCATTTACACTGTGGATAGACATCCAATTTTATACCATCAGAACAGAACCCTGCAGATATAGTATATAGATAGACATTCATTGAGTAAATAAGACCTGCTTTAATTAATCTGTGGTTCTTCAGTGGTTTGGTATTGACCTTAAGTGAGGTATTTGTAATGTTAATTCCAAATAATCACCTAACTACTTAATTAAAAAATCACTCACTTCAGTGCTTAGTTAAGCAATCGTTCCACATGTGTAAAAACTGGCGACTTTGAGAGATGATGAGATCGAGGGATGATATATAAACCCTGCTATATTGGTTCTCTCCAGGATCAGGGCTGGCCAGTCCATTCTAATACTTATGTCACTTTGCAGGTGGTTGAAAATCATAAATCTGCCTCATCTCATTCCTTCTCAGAGACACACAATGATTTATTAAAGGATGGCTATGCATCTAAAATTATGAACTTTTATACAGTGGTGTGTTCATTTCAGTGAATCACCCTCAAATCTGGTTCATAATAGAAGAGAAAAGCTAGTTAGTGATAATTGAAAACACATAATAATCTATTAGTGCGATCAAACAAATTGACCACAAATGCAAATGAAATGCAACACACCAGATAAAAATGGAAATACAGTAGTGATTCTTTTACATCCAACCTGTATTCAGTGTGCATTTTATATTTTGAATTTGCACAGTGCACGTCCATACTCGACACTAGACATGCAGACGACTCACATTATCTGTTCATAGGATTGTCCCTGAACCGGAAGTGGCTATGAAGTAATCCGTTTCGTATAGTGCAAATGGTATATTATTCACATTCGGTCAGACTCATACCCACGGTAGAAAAGATCTGCTACAATGATTTAGGCAAGATTTTTATGTGTTATGGATTAAAATAAGAAGATTATGTTCGTTGAAGAATTTACCACGATAGAGGAGTGGGCGGAGATACGGCTCCAGCTGTAAGGCGAAACGAGTAAAACGATTAAGAGGAAGAGTTTACCTGTTTCGCCAGGTCAGGTCTATGGCTTTTTGTGTTTTCCCCAGCACCGTGGTAGGACAGCAGCTGAGCCTGAGCGCAGGTAGTGCTGTGAGGGATGGACTCGTTTCTCACTATAGACCCATGGGTTGTAATTGGTCGCAACGCCTCTTTCATTATTAAACCGGCTGGACGGGAGGAAAGTGCTCTTCTTCCCTGTCCATCCTGACGACATAGGTTTAAGTTTAAACTAAATAAAAATAGAGATTAAAAATTAGGGCGGCAGGATGGACTACCAGAAGAAGAAGAAACTGACCTTTTTCACTATCGGGCTCATCTTCCTTTTGAGTGGCATTGAATACGGTGAGCGAAATTATTTTTTAATAGTGTGGGTTTGTATTGGTTCGAACTTAGTTTTTCATTTTAACGCTGGCCTTTCACTGTAATCACTAGCCAGATGGGTCCTTCATTAATACAATAACCCGAACTTAGTCCGTACTGTTGTCATGGGGGTTTAACTAACGTCCGATGTGACTGATGTCCAGAGCGGGTTGATTCTCTGCACCAAGTGCCTCTTCTCCTTGGATTAAACGCGAGTCGGGTATTCGCAGCATTGCTGCATTTTCAGGCGTGAACTTCACGATTCGTATTCAAACATTAATATCTATGTATTCGTTTAGCGGGGAATAAAGCAGCGATATTAAAAGGGTTGTTTAATATTACTCTTTAGTAGAGGTTGCTTATGCCGAGACACAAACCGGGCTGTGAGAGAAGAATGCGAGGGAGTGTCGCCGTTTGTCCTTGTGGAAGTGAAGAGTATTTGTGTGGGGAGTGTTTGCTTGCCTATCTAGCAGGCTGGCTTGCTTTACCTTATAATCAGGCAGGCGCTTAACCAACAGAAGCTGGGGTCGTGAGGGAAGTTGGGTTGTGCTGATTCAGCACAGAGGTTCCTTAATTTTTTATTTCTGTTGGTGGTGTGGTTTTGAGGGGGGTACCCTTTCCTGTAACAGTAGTGCAGTAAACAGCCAGGTACAGTTACAGTAGCAATGATTAAACAGCTCGTGTCTCCATCAGTTTCACAAAAGACCACGTCTCCATTCACAGACGTCTGATCCACATTACGTCAAGTATGTGGAAAATAATGCATTTGTTTCAGTTCTGCTAATCAGGACTGTTTTGATCGGTTTCTGTGCTTTATTTCTCATTGCCCAGTTCCTGAAGCCAGATCTGTTGCTGTCATCAGTTTCTTAAAGTGGTGATTCATCTTCATTGAGAAACTGGTGTGGAACAGGCATATACTGTGTACCGTTTTCAACCTTTTCTTCTCATGGTCTTCTCCTCCCTGTGTCCCCACTGGCCCTTTTCCTCTCCGTGTCCAGCGGTGATCCTGCCCACTATCTGGCGGTACCTGCAGACGCTGGGAGCAGAGCCCTATTTCCTGGGTTTGGGCCTGTCTGCGTTCAGCCTGACCGGACTGCTGTCCGGGCCGCTGTTCGGGCACTGGTCAGACCGCACGCGCCGCACCAAAGCCATCATCCTCTTCGCCAACCTCTTCGAGATTGCTGGTGAGCCCTTCTGTCCTGGTCAAGTATTAGAAATCCCACAACTCCCCCCCCCCCAGTACTGTGTAAAGGAAGAACAAGGGATCCGTTCCAAACAAGAGGAGGCTATTCGGCCATTCTGGCCTGATTCGTGTTTGACGTCTAGAAACGGCAAGATGGCTTTACCAGAACATGGCATTCTGAAAAACCATCATCCTGTTTTATGGAGATTCACTTACAATTTCCACCAATTCCAGAGGTATTCAGTGAAATTGACATTTGGGGCATGGCTTTCTATCTCAAGGTTTCCAAAGTGAGCAGCAAAACCATTCATATGACTGGAACTTCCTAAAAAAAGTGGTGCATGAGTGTGGAATATACACTTCAGCCAATTATTTGTTGATTTGTATGGAGCTTTCTGGAAACGGTCCTGGCAAAGGCTACAGTGTTCTCATGCTGAAGCGTTGGTCGAGTATCTTGGAGAAGAAATGAAAGGAACTGTTTTTTCTTAGTTCTACCCCCTTCTTTCATTTTGAAACATTTTGGTGTAATTTGGTTTCAATTCCTCTGCAAGTAATTTGTTGTTTAGATATATTTATATATTACTTTTAATGTTTCTTTTCAGTGTAATGGAAAATGAAACGCGTGTAGTTTTTTCTTTAGCTAGTCCAATTGGTATGATGCATTGGAAGTTCAATGGAAGAATTCTCCTACATTCTACCATATGGGAGGCAGAGACAGTTTTGATTCCCAGCCAATGCATAAGTTGTACTTGTAACAAATTGGGGTAATAGACTTTCTCTAATAATATAATAAAAATTGTGTATACTATATTGATGTTTTTATTAATTTTATATATCACTGTTAAATATAAATAATAAAAGTAACAATATCATGGATGGACCTATGTAGTGTACAGCTGCTGTGTGCCTGTTTCACAAAGTAAGGTAAGTCAGTTACCCAGATATATACAGTTTACTGTATAGTCTTTTCTGGTCACGATGTGTGCTATTCAGGTTTGCTTACATGTTAAAATAACGTCAGACCCATTATCTGACATTGGAGCAGTGGTGTAGCCAGTATTTCATATTTTGAGTGGTGGACACACAGCATAAACAGTGATCCCAAGATTGTTGCAGGCAAAAAGAAGTTTCAAGAAAGCTGGGTGTGTTGCGATTTGACAAACCAACTTGAGTGCAGAAGTTTGCAGCCTCCTGCCACCATTTTTCGGCGGCCACAAAATGGATCGCTGCTGGAAAACCAGCTAAAATAAAAAGACCTAAACTAAAAAGTGTTCAGCTACTACTACCTGCATAAATATTTATATTAGTAAATTAAGTGTAAAAGATGTTTATTATACTTGAGTTATTTTTTATTTATTTTCAGCTACCAAAATGTCCTTTTAGTTACATGATTTTGTATTTAAACCCACTTAATATGGAATATTAAGAAGTACTACAACAGATTAAATGACGCTACTAACATATAACGCACCACAACTGCAACCATGAGTTCTGACGCATGTTCTGAATGTCTGCATCTGTAGATCAGCACTGATTCAGGGCAACTGGAGGTCACAGTTCTGCTGAGTTAGTACCTAAGTGCACTTAAGTGACTGAATCTTGTTTTTAATCTCAGCGTTGTTTCCACGAATGTGTTTATAATCAGGTTGTGGGAAAGCTCTTGTCTTTAGAGAGATTCTGTCCAGCAGATTTGAGTTTGCCTTTCCAAGTCCAGGTACATAATGCATACAGTCTTATGGTGATCATGTTCAATTGCTCTGTCTCGGATGTTAATCAGATGTTTGTTCTGTTTTATTATAAAATAATAAAGCAAAGTCACATTCATTGTTATACCATTTAATAGTAATTGTTCTGTTACTTTTATTTTTTTATACTCGTAACTGATTGGATGCAGCATTTTCTCAAGGTTATTGCACTGTTAAAATAATATCCATTAGCTAAGGCAAGGAATGTAGGGTGTTACTTAGTATCTTACAATTTTTTTTTTCCCCATTTGGTTTCCCTTCATGGTCTTTTTGTTTAAATGCAGATATTCACATTCAGTCCTTAAGTTTTAAGTATGGGTAATTCAAATTGCAGAAATCTGCTCTGGCTGACTGGGCTAAACTGACCTGGGAGAGTTACTCATTCCCTGCTGCATCTGGGAAAGGTCAAAACAGCTGCAACTCTGACACTCTCTTCTTCCCACCCCCCTCTCTCCCCCAGGAAACATCATGTACTTTATGGGCTACTCAAAATGGCTGCTATTGTCCAGCAGGCTTGTGGCAGGTAAGGGGTTAAACTCATCTCCACACAGAGTGTACTAAGAAGATTAGTCACACACACTCTTTTTCCTTATGCTGTCTGTTCTGAGCCCAGAGGTGTACACTGAGTTCAGAGATGACTTTACAGTACTGTCAGTTTTGAGATGGGCTCTGTGCAAAGGCCTATTTCCTAGGAACAGTAACACCCTGTCAAACCCCTGTGATGTGTATAAACTCCATCATGCAGTATAGCCTGGGCTCTCTGTCTGTGTGGTACAGTTAAGCTAATATGTCATGCTGTGCCCTTGTCCTCTTGTGGCTAGTGGTGTGCCCAAAGATGTATGACGTCTGGCTACTAATTTAGCATTAATAAGTTGTGACCTGGAAAATAATGGCAAGAATAATGTAGACCAGAATAAATCAATTAATAACGGGAGAAGGGATGTTTCCGGAGAGGCTAGTGATTTAAGTTAGGTGGGGGGATGAGTGCTGGAGTTCTTAAACTGAGATCAGAGAGGGCAGTGAGTGAGCTGCCAGGTCTGGATGTACTGAGGAGGGCTGTGGCTGGGTGTTGAAGCAGAGACATGAGAGTTTAATTGTGCTTTTTGTTTAGGTATCGGGACGGGTGCAGGCGCCTCGATCTTTGGCTACCTGACGCGGAGCACGCTGCCGGAGGACCGTGCCACTGTGTTTGCAGCTGTGATGGCCTGCCGGCAGGCTGGACTCCTGATTGGTCAGTTCGCCATTGTGTTTATACATTTCCCAGCCATGTGCTTTGTTCAGCAGGAGATATAAACAATATCGGAACTGATAAGGTTACTGAATTACAATAATGGACTGTAACTTCTTTAAAACTGTAAGCTCTGTGAAGTAGTGCTACATGTCCTACTCTTAACAGATTATAAGGGTCTCTTTTAAAAAAACATCTTCATAACTGTGGGTAAAGAGGCAAAAGTGTTTTAAAAAATATTACAATTGCTTAAAAATTTTAAGATCTATGCCTTAGCTTACAGTCATGTTTTGCCGATTGCAATGTTAAAACTGAATTTTACATGATATTGCAGTAGATGACTATGCTCACTAGTTTGTCCACATGCGATTTGAACTCTACAAACCATCATGTTCCTTCAGTTTTTATGAGTGGGAGATGGCAAAGTGCATTTTGTCAATGATTAATAATACAAAAATAATTGACTTGTAGATGTTTTTATGAAGAGAATTGTCAACAGGTACTTCTACACAGCTGTCTTACAGTAAGGCAACAGATTTCCACAGGAAAGGCAACAGGAAGGTCCACTAACCTGCTCAATGAATCACTGTTGGATAGTGATCTTCTGACACAAAGCCATAACCATAACATTTCCTGCCCATTGAATCCCAGGTCTGAAAGGTAGAGGTATCAAATGCAGTTTTTGGTGGGCCTAATGCAGAGGTTTCCAGCCCTTATTCTAGTAATTCCCAGTCCAGTTAGTGTCCTAGATCATTCTAAGCAATCTTTTTTTTTTATAGCGGTTAAACTTGGAAGTTATTAATTAATAAAGAAAGTGATTTGTGATAAACCTTTAATAAGGTTTAGTGGATTGCAGAGAATGTTCTTATAAAACAACTAAAAGCTTCATTTAAAGTATAAGTGTTATTTGTTCTACTTCGTTAGCTGCACAGGTAACTGAAACCTTGGATCGAATAAAAACAAGAAGACGCCAGGCTCTCCAGGAATTTCGTCCTTAGCTCTGCCATTACTTACCAGTGACTGGAATTCCCAAGTGGGTATTAACACATGGTTTACTGGACCCCATTAGCAGTGGCCTGAGATACCAGTGTGTAAGATACCCAAGGTATCAGTGAGAGATTCACCCCTCTTCCATGCAATGCTAGCTCTTTATGGTGTAGTGCTTCTTGCAATGTGTCCAGAGCCAAAGATCTCTGTGCTAGCACACCTCCAACACCCACCTGTCTGCCTGTGCTGATCAGGGATTGATGCCAGTTGTTCAAGGGGTAAGAAACTGGTAATGTTTTTGTAAATAGAACATAGAAATGCAGAACAGAAAGGAAATGAGGAACAAAATGCTGGGAACTGGACATGATTCCGGGAATGTTTTCTAACCCAGGTATAGGTATCGAACTGTGGCAGTATAGTGTGAATTGCTATGGAGGTTGTAGCTCATAAACGCGTACATGGTCATTTAAAACTACTTGCTTATCTCTGACTTTCTCTGACTCCTACAGGCCCGGCCTTCAACCTGTTCTTGAGATTGTGCGACTTCCACCTGGGACCATTCATTGTGAATAAGTACACATCGCCAGGGGTAAGTGGAGAGAACTTAAACTGATTAAACTGGAGCAGTGCCAGCATTTTTGCATGGTGCTCTTTTTAAAAAAAAATTTAACTAAATTAAATCTTCAGGTGGGTAGCTGCGTCAGCATGCGTAGGCTACAAAGGAACAAGTGATAGGTTTATTCCAGAAAAAGAAGAAAGAAAACACAATGTTTCAGCTGTGGAGCCTTCTTTAGAAAAGCCTTCTTTAGAAATAAGAGCCAATCTTTACCTCTGGCCTCACATGTTAAGTCTGCTTAGGTATCTCATATTTTAGCGATGATACAAGGTGCTTGTAAAGTTAATTGGCGTATTTGAATAACTGTGATATTGGATAATGTAATAACTATGGAGGAACCAACTAGAAAGTAAATGTGTTGTTACCATGAGGAAGGCACACTTGTGTGTGACTATTGTAAACACTCCACATACAGGCTGTCAAGTCCAAAACTGCAGTGTGCTCATATAGTGCCCTCTGTGACCTCGGAAGTGTCACGTTTAGGCCCGCTGGCCTGTGACAACCATCTTTAGGATGGGCGGGAAGTGACTGTGCCTCTGGTTCTCTCCAGCTGTTCATGTGTTTCCTGTGGGTGCTGCTGCAGCTGGTGGTCCTATTCCTGTACTGGGACATCCCTCCACAGGGGGCATCGCAGCCCCAGGGGGATGCTGAGAAGGAAGAGGAGAAGCTCCTAGTGCCTCCAGTGACCCCTGAGCCATCGTACGGCAGTGTTGGCCCTGGTGTGCCCAGCTCTGTGGGTGTCGCACACAATCATGTCCTCCCCAATGGCACCGTGAGCCCCCCCTCACCCCCACCCTCCCCTCCTCCATCCACACTCACCAACCCCTTCCACCGTTTCAGCGCCAGCAAAGGTGAGTGTCTGTGTCCCCTACTCTCAGCTTCCTGATCGGGCGTGTACCCTCTCTCTCGTAGTGCTTGCTTGCACATTTTACCATAACCCATCCTTGCTGTCTCATTGCCCCTGTGGTACAATCGCTCTCAGTACTATTAACTGCGTCTGTCTTGGATCATGTAATTTTATGCTGTACCTGTGCGTCTTGTTGCGGTGTGTGTGCACGTGTAGACCCCGTCTATTTCTGACACGCTGTGTGTATCTGTGTGTGTACACGCTGCTCTGCGAGTGACACTGTGCTCTGTGCTCCAGAGTACCTGCGGGAGGAAGTGGTGGTGCTGCTCACAGCTCAGTTCATCACTCTCTTCAACCAGACTGCACTGGAGGTATGAGGGATTGCTGCAGGAGCCGCTGAGTGTACAGGCTAGACTCCCAGTGCAGAGCAGAGTGAGCTGTCTCTGTCTTGATTAACTGACTTGCTGATGTGCTCTGTAAATAGCCTAATCTGTTGTTATTTCAGACTATGACTGACTATGCCATGTTATATGAAATACAACAGGTTTAAAATGTTATGCAGTCATGTTATTTTAAAAGGGAGGAGGTGATAAAGTTGGTCTTTGATGCAAAGTTTAAACATGTACATGCTGTTATCCATCTGCCTTCACCATCCTTTCTCTTTCTCTTTCCCCAGACTATGGTGACCCCCCTGACCCAGAAATACTTTAACTTTGGGGAGCTGGAGAATAGCATTATGTACTGCCTGTGTGGTGTGGAGGTCATCGCTGGGTTCTTCTTCGTGCGCTGGCTGAGCCGGCGCTTCACGGACCGCGTGGTCCTCGCTGTGGGGCTCATCATCTCCAACGTGTCCTGCGTCTGGTGCCTCATCTTCCTCGCAAACCCACAGGGTGAGGGTGCCTGCCAGTTCCACTGAGGGGGTACCGAGATGTATATAATGTGGTATCCCCATATACATTATGGATTAAGGCACACCAAGAGATATTAAGACAAACTCAGGCTCAAAGACTAAGATGCTTTAAAACTCTGAGATTCATTCAGATTCCCTCAAGGGGCAGCCTCAGTTGCCTTTGGAGATGATAGGTTATACACAGGCTCAATTGAACGTATTGAGATATGCTTGACTAATTGCTTCATCACTCACTCTGCCCTCTCTCTTTATCTCTCACAGGCGGATTACCCTGGCAGCTGACAGAGTTCGTTATCGGGGTGTTCCTTCAGGTTCTGGGGCTCCCATTTGTGGCAGTCTCTCAGGTTTCTCTGTTCTCCAAAGTGACGGCAGAGAAAACTCAGGGTGTGTATCAGTGTTTGTGTTTAACTGTACTACAGTTATTGTTCCAGGTGGTTGTGGTGTTCATGTTATCTCTGACTTCTTTAAGACTGGTACTCTGATTGAGCTACACTTTGGAATCCAGTGAAGTTGAGCTAGATGTAGGGTTAAACTTACACTACAGTTAGGATTCCACTAATGTTACAGCTACATTTTAAGTTGAGTTGAAAAGACTGCTAGTATGCCATGTTGTACTTAACGTTTAACATGGGTGGGAATGGTGTTGCCCTTAGGTCTAACAATGGTACTAGCGTTTAAATGACAAAGTAAGCACAATGCAGTCCTCTCATCATTCTAGTAAAGCCAACTGAAATGTAATTGTAACACTGGTTGACTTCAATGATTTTTCTCACCCTAGCCCAAGATCTAGGCTAGCATGTGCATTAACATTTTAGGCATCCTCACGGATAAGCAATGCAGATACAGATAACGATGGGGTTCTCCATGTTTTGGGCTCATGCAGGCACAATGATCAGGTCTGGACTGCTTCCTTGGCAAGACAGCCTAAGCCACTTATAAGGGCAGTCAAAAACTTTGCTGCACTTTGAACAATAGATCACATCAAGTGTTGAGATTAAGCCATTATAAGATCACTTTCCTTTTAACTGTGTTTCTCGGCAGTTATTCAGTTCTTTTCCTTGTTTAGTTTATAACTGATGGGGGTAGTCTCCTGTGTGGTGCAGTATCTGTATGTTGTGAAGTGCTCCCTCTGCAGTGAGTCTCGCTTTGCTCTTGGTCTGGCCGGCAGGCTTCAGTCAGGGGCTGCGGCGCTCTGTCGGGGGACTGGCGACAATCCTGGGGCCACTGTGGGCAGGAGGGCTGACAGGGAACCTGTACATCATGCTGGGAGTCATGATGGCCCTGCTCCTCATGCTTACTGTGAGTACACCTGACCTCTGACTTGCGTGCATGCTGTTGTTACTGCATGCCCACTGTTGTAGTAGAGGCTGACTCAGTAGTGGCACTCAATGGCAGAGTGTTTGTTTGTCTCAATAGGGGTAAATGTGTGTTGTACTAATGGCAGTTTGCATATTTGTTTAGGTGATGATGGTGTTCTCCTATGATCAATTAGTGGAGCCCACTGTCATCATAAACCATACTGATGTCCAAGAGGACTGTGGGTAGGGGCTGCTTGTGGTCTCCAAGGAGATGAGCAGTGGAAGGTGAGGGGTGGGACTTTATGCTTTTCATGATGGTTTACACTGAAATAATTGCTAATGGTATTAAATCATAATTATTAGTAGCCTTATATTTCTGTACCTTGTTTTATCCTATCTTTAATTTTTTCCTTCATGTGCTTTTTCTTTAGTTGTGCTCTCTGCCAAAAATCATACAATGTGGAAGCCTTGTGTCTGTAACCAGTTTCAACAGTCTGTATTCTCCAGTCTAAAGCTATTTTACGTTGTTTATTTTGCCTCCGATTCAGGGTCAGTCTGATCCCTGCACCTTAGTGTCTGGGTCAGATTGAACCCCACACTAAGCTCTGTCTTCCAGTCTAACTGCTGTGTTTCTCGACTGATTAACACAGGTGTCTGGTGGATCCACTGCCCACCCTGTGGACTGCTGGCTGGAAGAGGTCTTCTTCAGGATAGCACTGGGACAAGGCAGGGCTGGAGTACTACCTTAGTGTACTGGGATACTTTTCCAGACTGAGCATCCTGCATCCCTGTTTTCACCTCATAACACTAACATTACAGGTCCTTCTATACACTGAATTACACAATTACACAATTTTGATCCACTAGCATTTTACTTCACAGTCCACGTGATCCCTGTCTCAGGGCTCAAGAATTTGGCCTATTTAAAATTCTCTGCTTTTTAAAGTTGCTGCTGATTTTAAAGGTAGAACTGGATACAGCCGGTGTCTTTCCACTTTGAAAGGATGAATTTATTTGCGTTTAGAAAGATTCAGAGGATTTCATCACTGTTTGGCCTACAAGTCCAGTGTTCCACAAAGCTGAGCCACTCTCCAGAGCCGCAGTGGTGATCAACTCCCATTCTGAGAATTCAGTTCTGTAGGTTTTCTTTTACTCTAAATTGCTCAAGCAAAACCTCCGTAACACAAGAGCACAGAAAGCAAAGACGTCTTTAACAACTGAGCCATAGACCTGCTGGGATTGCGGTTTTGCTGTCCATCAGAGCTATAGAGACATAATATGGAGTTTTAATATACAGTTTCAGTGTCAGTATGGAGTGCAAGCACAGAATCTCAGCACAGTGTTTGAGTCTCCTGGTGGGGTAGTCTGTATTGATGCACAATGAATGTAATTAAACTCCGTATATTTCCTGTGGAAAATATATTGTCAATAAAATATTAAACTGTTTTCATGTTGGTTGAAGCTAAGCATTAGGGGTCCAAACGGGAAGAAAACTGTTAACGCATCACATGCTACCCCCCTCAGTCTGTCTGTTTTCCACTGCAGTGTACTACATTTATGTTGCAGAATATATTACAGAAAACCTTGCTATCTCTTGCTAGTGGTGCTACTGTATGTCATTCTTGTGGCCTACATTTGAACAATACCTCTGTATTTCTGCTGTAGTATATAAATAATGTAAACATACACTTGTGGAATTACTGTAACTATATATAATTATTTATTATAATCGGTGCAATGCAGTGTTCAGTTACGGCACCCAGCTAGCTTCCAGAATACCAGGAACAGGAGATGCAGAAGAGCACTTACCACTGTTCTCATAAAGTTTGTCAAAAAGTGTTAAATGTTTATATTGTTACATTTTTTCCTACTTTTTGCAATTACCACAAGAAACCTTTCTAGTTTATTGGGTAGCAACAGTAAGTATAAAGTAAGCATTTTTTTGTTCGCTGCTTTAGTTCCCATTGAAACGATTGACTTTTAGACTGTGCTTCTCTCTTCTGGACAAGTGGGGGAGCTGTTACCCCACAGACTGGACTTTTCTCACACGGACAAGCTGGTTGCAAAGTGTTTTTCGTTTCCTCAAGCTGTGGCTGAAACCCTGTGAAAATTAATTGGGGTGGTTGGATTATTTTTAACGAGCTGTAATTATGAAAGGGTGGCACTTTGGTTAGCATTGCTCTCTCACAGTGCTGAAGTCCTGGGTTCCATTCTGGATCTGGGATGCTGTCTGTGTGGAGTTTTTGTATGTTGTCACCGTGAGCAGTTGGGTTTCCTCCAGGTGTCCCGGTTTCCTTCCACCGTCCAAAAACATACAGGTAGGTTAATTGACTTCTGGGAAAACTGGCCCTGGGTGTGTGGATGTGTGCATGAATGCGTGTGATGGACTGGCATCCCAACCAGGGCATACCCTGCCTTGCGCCAACTGATTGCTGGGACACACAATGTCAATTATGTTTCATACTTTGCTATAAATTCTCTGCAAAGCTAGCAGCTTTCCCTGCCTCCTTCGAGAGGGGATGTCAGCCAAGTGGAGCTCGGCAGCTGGGGTGTGGGTATGGCACACAGGGCCATGACTGCTCTGCACCCAAAAATGGAATACATTTGAAACAAGGGTATCGCCATCATAGACTGCCGTAGATGAATGTGATCTTGTCTGCCTTGATTCCTGTCAGTGCGTCAACTGGTGTTGATCTGCCATCACTGTCCCCAGCCTCCACCTTGAGTCAGCTGCACCTCAATCCTAAAATAGAGAGACATGCCCTGGCCTGTGTTTCTCCACTGTGGGTGGTCTTTCCGTGGAGAGCCCATCAACTCAGTGGAGTCTGGGAAACTGCCTGTTTCACAGCTTGAGTGATGAGGAAATAATAAGAATTGCTTCATAAAGTGTGAGCATTCCACTGTAATGTTATAGTGGTGCGATAAGATCAATAACTATAACACCCCTGAGAAATACTGATGCACACAGATAATCAGGTTATTAATATTTACCCATAGTGTTTTCCCCGGCTGTACACAGACCTGGCATTTCACAGATTATTGGTACTCTGTCAAATTCCACAGCCTTGAATAAATCATGTGCCAGAGATCTTGGCTAAATATAGAATGTTAAGTAGAGTGATGTTGATTACATATGGGAGGGGGGTGTTTTTGCTTAAAAATCCAATGACAAAGCATTGTCTATTGAAGACTACTTTCTCCTTTTTACGTCAGTTTCCCGAACAAGATGTTTATCAAGAACATATTGCTCATTCTGCTTTAAAAGTAATGACAATCTTCCCCATTTTTAAAAGGACTGGAGGTTCTGTTCTCAAGGTATCTGACTGTGGTGCACTGTACAACCTGTAATGAGAAACCTTTCTGGATTGTGCTGTCATGAGTTTCTCTTTGGGTCTTCTGATGTTGAACTGTCATTAATGTATGCTTATCATTACTTTTAAACTTGCACTAATTGTTGATATCTGACATTTTTACTATTATGCCCACTCTGGTTCCAGCAAACCCTAGTTTAACTAGTTTAGCTAGGTTAACTCACCAATTTACTCACAATTTGTGTATTTAATATTTATAAGTATAAATGTAAATGTAAAAATATTTTGCACAATTTCATCTTGACCACTTGGGCAATTAGATTAGAGATCATTTGAAATGAAAATACTAAAACCTTGCAACAGTCTAGAAGCAAAACTGACAGTTTCTGATTTAGGAGAATCATGATTGCTCATAATTGTTGGACTGTGGCTCTATCAGGTCAGGGTTGGCCAATTCTGTGCTGTTGCAATGCCCAGAAAATCACCAGCTGTGGTGTATGTTAATTGAAAAGAATGTGTAATGCAGAGAAATGTCTTTTAAACCAATTGGGTTCCCATTTTACAATAATAGGTCATGTGGCCAGCAGTCCTGTGATTTGTGAGCATTTGCCCTCAATTTAGGGACTCTCGTCTAATCAAAAGGAGGACGTAGCTGAAATGTTCTGGGTTCAGTCCTGTGATTGTCATCACAAATATGGGTTTTTGTTTTAACTGTTTTTCCACTCAAATATATTTTTTAAATTTCAATGTCACCAAAGGTAAGTCATCCTGGTGCAGAGATTGGTGAGAGTGGACTAAACACACTAAAAAAAATCATCCTGTTGCTGACTGCAACAACGAGAGAGTCTCCCACCTGGGACCCCTCCTGAGAGAGAATGCCACCTGCCTTCTGAGTTTGAAGGTTATCTATGGAATATTTGTGCCCCCTCATATCCCTGAAATGCAGGTGTCTTGAGAGAAAATGACAAGATGCCAGAGATCAAACAACTCAAGACCCTCCCTCTCCTCCTCATCTCCGACAAGGCTCTGTGAGAGACGTTCTAGGATCACGTCTGCATTGTTATATAAGAAGTTACCATTGTAGAAGACAAATATCTAGTCATTGGCAATCTCTGACACAAGCTGTGTTGAAATCTTTCTGCAAACTGGAGATCGGCGCAAGGCTGAATGGCTTGTTCTCAGCATGAAGTGGTTCTAGAGCTTGAGGGGGCTGGGCCAGCGATCCCTTCCCTCTGCGGTTGTGGGTCTGTGCCAAAATGGTATGATGACTGTTTTGTTTCTTAAAAAGTGGAAAGCATTTTTCTGGGATGTAACGCCTCCCCCTGAGATTGAAAGCTCGCTCACAAGCAGATTGAAAACATTATTCCCGTCTCTTGAAAAATAACATTTTTGGCCACAACTGCCATAAGTAAAAATCTACAGCCGGTCTGCCACAGAAGAAAACGAACTCATAACTTTAAAAAAGCCAAAACATTTTGATTTAAAATTGAACTTTTTCCCCCTGCGGCACTGAATAAATAATATGTGAAGAGTTTTTGTTCTCCTAAATTCCTTACTCAGATTCGCCGATGAGCTCCAAGCGGTGATGAACCCCAGTATGGCCTCCATTCTCACTTTTTCAACAATAAATTAATATACTCACTTTAAAAAAGCTACAATAATTGTCATAGTCTTTATACTTCTTGTTTTTCTGCTTGAGTTGAATATGTTTTTTTTTAAAAAACACGCAATGACCCAGTTTTCTTATTTGCTCTTTCTAGAAATTGTGAAACAATTATGATGGCCGAAACCTAACATTCAATTAGAAAATTCCTTCTAAAGATATTTAATAAAAAATGAAAATCCACCCAGTTATTCAGATGGTTCTTGCATCTTCAGACCTGGAACCACCTTTGAGTGTGAAGCAGCCCACGGTTCACCAACCATAGTAAAGAAACACACAGACACAAAGAAAAGACCGTATCCAAACCGCCATTCGTAACTGCAATAGTGTTGTATTATTATTTTATTATTTTTATTGTTATGTAGATGTTAATCAAAGCAACTTAAAGCATAAAAGCAATTATTAAAGTTAAAAAATAATTGAAGGCAAAAAACATACATAGTACCAGTAGCTGTATGATATGACATATTATTTTTATAGCTACGATGATGATTATTTGCTATCGACCTATTAATATTAATAATTGATTTAAATAACACTTTAACAGAATTATATGAATGATTTAGTAATGATTAAAAGTTACATTTTTTTTTTTAGTACACACCTGCAATCTGTCCTCAGCTTGTTTGAGCGGTGGTAAAAAATGCCTTTTGTTTTAGGTCTTCATGTTTTGTTTTGGTGAATATTCACATTGAACCCTGCTTGTACTGTGCAGTATGTGATTGTTACTTGCCTACAGTAGACTTTAATCAATGCAATGATTGCAATTATTAAGGCCATATAATAATAATAATAATAAAAATAATAATAATAATGAATAATAATGTTATAAGAGGAATAATTAAATTGAATGGCGTTAATGTCCTATTTTGTGGTCTGGGTTGTAAAACTTGATTATCTTATTATTTGTTTAAATTTTATGTTTATATAAATGATAAAGCAATAATATATCTTACAGCTTTCCAATAATGCAAAAGATAAATATTTTTTTAGTTCTTTTTTTAATTGGTCAGGGTTACAAGGGACATTTTTAAACACAGAATGAATTGCTCATTTCACGGGAAGAAACCATAATGTCTCAAATTAGTTAAAGCAATAAACCTTAGTAAGTGCCACTCTCTGGGGTGACAGAATTTTAAGGGAATGAGACAGAAGTGGTAATAATTTCTTGAATTATGAATTTAACAATAAAGAACCAAGCCAGATAAACATTTATTTTCACAGTTCTTTAATAACATGGAATAAAAAAATTAAATACATTTATATAAATCGATCATACAATAAAAATCTAACAAAAAAAATATAGCAATTGTTAATGGTGATATTCTTTAATGGGTTAACAGGCTATAAATAGTTTATACTGTATCTGTATCATCTGTATAAATGTTTTTTTTCTTTTGAGTTTTTCTCTCAAATTGCAATTATTAATTAAAGATGGTTATTTGGACTTTTACAGTATTCTCACAAGTATGAATTAAATAGGAGAGCGAATTACAATTTAACATTTAAATAACAGCTACAGTATGTTTTAAAATTTAATTTGTTGTTCAAAATTTAAATGTATGAATTTCTAAATATATTTAGTCGTACATTCAAAATGGCCAGGTAGTCATTTCTGGAATAACATATCTATATATATGATATTTACCATATAATTTTAAATTAAATCTCCTTTAAAACTTTTAAGAAACCAAACGTTTAAAGAAAGTCAAAC